CGGAGCCCCCCGGGCTCGGCGGCGTCCAAGCGCGCGCGCACGGCGTACACGAGCGCGCAGCTGGTGGAGCTGGAGAAGGAGTTTCACTTCAACCGCTACCTGTGCCGGCCGCGCCGCGTGGAGATGGCCAACCTGCTGAACCTCAGCGAGCGCCAGATCAAGATCTGGTTCCAGAACCGGCGCATGAAGTACAAGAAGGACCAGAAGGCCAAGGGGCTGGCCTCGTCGTCCGGGGGTCCCTCTCCCGCCGGCAGCCCCCCGCAGCCCATGCAGTCCACGGCCGGCTTCATGAACGCCTTACACTCCATGACTCCCAGCTACGACAGCCCGTCCCCGCCCGCCTTCGGCAAAGCCCACCAGAATGCCTACGCGCTGCCCTCCAACTACCAGCCCCCGCTCAAGGGCTGCGGCGCCCCGCAGAAGTACGCCCCGACCCCGGCGCCCGAGTACGAGCCCCACGTGCTGCAGGCCAACGGGGGCGCATACGCCACGCCCGCCCTGCAGGGCAGCCCGGTGTACGTGGGCGGGGGCGGCTACGCGGATCCGCTGCCGCCCCCTGCCGGGCCCTCCCTCTACGGCCTCAACCACCTCTCCCACCACCCCTCGGGGAACCTGGACTACAACGGGGCGCCCCCTATGGCCCCCAGCCAGCACCACGGACCCTGCGACCCGCACCCCACCTACACAGACCTCTCCTCTCACCACGCGCCTCCTCCTCAGGGTAGAATCCAAGAAGCGCCCAAATTAACACACCTGTGATGCGAGGGGGAGGTCAAGGGCGCTGCAGGGCTGCGGAGCTCTGCGGGGGGCGCAGGGGGGGGTCTCCAGGCCTCCGGGGCCTGGGGCTCCTTCCCTCCCCCCGGCCTGAGGGGCTGCTTTGCAGTCCTCCAGCGCCTGGTTCCATCTGCCTGCCAACCCTTCGGGAAGGAATTCACAGCAGATTGGATCTGACCCCCCCAGGAGCTCCAGGGCTCCAGCGCTACCGAGTTGGAATTCCGCGCTGGAGAGGGTTAGGGTAGAGGAGGGCAAGCTACAACTAGGAAGGCGAGGCAGAGAAGCACAGTCAAAAAAAAAACAAACAAACAAACAAAAAAAGATGGCCAGGCAGGCCATCACCAACCGACCAACTTACCTTCCGTCTCCGTGGGTCATCCCCCAACTCTTGGTAGTTCCCCCTCTCGTTCTCCTTAAGAAAACAAGAAAACGTATTGAAACCCAAGGGCACAAAGCACCGTCCCCTCCTGCTTCCTGAAGCCTCGGTTGGCTCTCTCTGAGGTTTCTGGGCCAGGGCCTCCGTTTCCACCACATTCACACCTACACCTCACCACGGTCAGTGACAGTCTTCTGAGGGCTCAGGGATGGTGACAGATCCTGAAAGGCAGAGCTGCCTAGAGTATAAATATATATATTTTTTCTTTGAAGGAAAAGTTAGGAGGCCAAGGCAGGCAAGGACTGAAGTTTTGCCTGCTCGGGGGCCCCTCGTCTCAGCTCCTGGTCCATCATCCCCCTCTCTGCAGAAAGCAATCAGCCACATGAAATTTTTCCACTTTTCTTCTGTTGCTCTCTTGACTTAACGTGAAAACAGGGTATATTTGAACAAACTGTTTGTCCCAGGCAGGGGCTGCAGCGGGGCCTGCGTGCCTCGGTCGCCTTCTGACAGGACACTTTTGTTGCACTTAGAGTTTACATTTTAATGGATATAAAAACAACTGTGAGAGATGCCTGGGCCTGTAGGAGCCCAGCATTGCTCAAAAAGCGTGTGTTCTAGTGAACATTTTCATATATATTTATTGGTTATAGCCCGTTAAAATATTTTCTTTTTTGTATTATTTATCCCCCCTACATTATGTATTTATATGAGGAAGAAGGGAAAAAAATTGTACTTTTTTAGTATTTACTTGTTATAAAGGACATTGTGTTTCCTGTCATGTAAAACCAGCTATTTTAGTTTTTATTGTACTCTAGCAAAGAGCTGTAGATTTATGTTAACCTCGTACTTATGAGCAATTGTAATTAGTTCTAAAAGGCATGAAACTCAGCTCCTACTTGTCACTGTATAGTCCTGAATTTGTAGAGTTAGTTAATTTCCTCTTGGAACTTTCTTTGTTCTTCCGTAGTTACTTTTTTTTCTTACTTAAAAGGGTTGTCTGTCAAACGATTCTTGAATAAACTTTCTGTTATCAATTTTATCTTGTGCTGGTGGTCCAATCGAGATGGTAGAGCAAGGCCAAGTTTGCCTCAAGGGACGGAAAATATGAAAGACCCTCCCTGGCCTTTCTGTCCCACCTCCCAGACCCTCATCTCCCCTTTGGTGTGTTTTGGGGTTGAAATGCAGGGATTTCTTACAAAAATCACTCATAGCCTGCAACCTTGTGCCAACTTCCTTAGCTAAGATTTAAGTAAGGAGCTGGGGGTGGGAAGGACACTCTTGGGGTACCCTGGGTCTTTCCGTGTTGCTTTTTGCTTCTTTCTTTTTCTCATTGCTGGACCTTTTGTCTGGTTCCTTCATTGGCTACAACCTCTGTTGCGCCGCCCTCCCCCCCGCCCAAAGCAAAGCAAAACAAAACAAAACAAAAATCTGTCTGATTACTGTTTCTTCTAAGCCACCAAACTTCACAGTCTGCTTCCGGAGCTACAAAGAAGTCGTCACGTGACCCGAAGCCCAACCACCATTGGGTCTAAAATGAAAACAAAGGAAAATGATTAATCTAAAAAAAAAAAAAAAGAAAATCTGACGCCTAGGCCTCTCAGGTCAAACCTTAAAAGCAAAGTGAAATTAAATCACTAAATAAAGCTTGGGGGCAGAGGGAGAGAGGGGAATTTTGATTTCCCTTGCCAGGGAGAGGAGGAAGAGCGTGTAGGAGAACACGTTGGTTCCAAGCATAAATAAAATGGTCCCCGGGCTCATGCGCGGCGCTGTCTCCACCATCCTTGGGAAAACTTCATTTCTTAGTCTCGGTTCCATAAAAGTTTCATCGCATTGGAGAGAGAGGGTCTGTCAAAGATGAAATGTCACCGCCGTGTCGCCTGAGCCGATAAGAGCGAGGAGACAGGGTGGCTGAAATATGGAGCTAATTCGTTGAAAGAGAAGCGATGGCTGCTTGCTGAAGAGTTGCATAATTCTAATTGTAAGCGATGCGCCCGCATGGCTTAATTAGGAGCATATATTTTGGGTGGGGGTGTTTGAGAATCATTCCAGGCCCTCAGCCTTAAAGCGAAAGCTGATTTTCATTTTTATGTTGCATCCTGGCAATCCAAGGTTAGTAATTACAGTCTTTATGCAACAATAAATAACAATAAAAAAGCAACCTGAATTCTGCACACACACACACACACACACACACACACACACACACACGCCCCTCCAGTAAGATTTTAACTGGACTCCGCTCACCCAGGCAGCAAGCGATTTAGCATTGGGTCAGGCTATAATTTAAAGGCAGAAGAGCGTGTGAAGTTTGACTGGGATCAAATAACGCTCAAGGGTCTTTCTTTATTTCTCTCTTCTCTGAATAACATTTTCTGAATGATGTAACTCAGTGAAGCCCCGCGCTTGGCTCTGGGGGTGTGGGATGGGTTGCTTATTTATCTAGCTGCAGAGAGACAGGCAGGCCAAGAGAGAGAATTTAGCCAGAATATGAAAAACAGGGCCTTGGCTTGAAGCTGGGATTGCAAACAAAAAGAAGACCAACTTGGCCTGGTGTTCCCTACCCTCTATCCAGGAGCTCAGCTAAAGCAGCTGGAAGCCTTGGGTAAAATATCTGTGCTCCTTAATTCCCAGCACAACAGGGGGGCGGGAGCGGGATGTCTCAGGGAAGGAGGGCTCTCCGGGCCCCTTTTAACACCCAAGTTTTCCGCTCTCCACTAATCTGGCCATAAAATCTGTCAGCGAGGGCTAGAGAGCCGTATTTCGTGCCAGGACGGGCTGGGCCCAGGGTGCCTAGCAGAGCTCTGGGTCCTGCTTGCCGCCAGCTGCGGGGGTTGGAAAAGCTGCAGAGGTGACCACGGGCCCAGCGGGCCAGCGAGCTCTCCCAGGCCTCCCGCACCATTTGCAGACAGCCACTCTTTCGATTCTGCCCTGCTCACCCCCCTCCACACCTCCAGGTGACAAAAATGGTTTTCTACTGGCCCAGCTCCGTGCAGCTCTGCCATCGCGTCCCCTTGAGCCTGCAGCCCCCACCCCCAGCTCCCTTTCTCCAGCCTGCCCTCCTCCACCCCCACCCCCACCCCTCGCCTCTGCCTTCTCTGCCCTCCTTTTTAAATACTCACCACCACCCACGCGGATGTTACACTGACAGAAAGTTTCTAGCTCCAGCTCCAGGCTGAGATGCCATTTCCTTGCTAAGCAGCCTTCTCCTCCCGGCTGGGCGACAGGGAGCGGGGAGGGGGAGGGGAGGCCCGAGCCGTGGGAGTTCTCCGGGCAAACTTTCCACCCAACTCAGCGCCTTCCCTCTGTCCCCATTTCCCATCTGTTTCCTGGCTCTCCCAGAATCACCTTTCTCTTTTGCCACCCCCTCCCTCAGGCCTTTTTAAGGGATGTGGAATTTCGGCTGTCCCCTTCTGCTTTCCCAAAGAGCCGAATTCTTTGATGCAATCGGAGGGAGCTGTCAGGGGGCTAAGATTGATCGCCTCATCTCCGCTCCGTCCCTCTGACCCATTTATTTAAAAATCTTCCCCCATCGACTTTTCATTTTCTGCTTTGAGGCCTAGTTTCCCACCAATTGCTTGTGGCTAAATCTTTGCCTCCTCCTCTAGTAAATTACAGCAGTCTTTAAAGTTCAGACTGTCTTGGTCCCCTCAACATAAAATAAATAAACATTTTCTCCCAGAGGCCAGAAAATGGAATACTGTCCTAGTGGTTATTATCTCCACACCCGCCATCCTCAGGGAATTTTTTCTTGCCAGGGATATATATACATGAATTTTGTTTAGACTAAGCACAGTGACAAACAGAGAGAACATAGAACGTTTTTCTTGTCCAAAGGAACCCACTTCCCTGCATACTGACCTGAGCTTTGAGAGTTAAATCCATGGCTACCTCGGTTCTTGTTTATGCTCCTGTGTGCAGATAGGGAGATACACACATAGGGCTTGAGGCTTGAGTGGCACCGTCTGCATTTCCAACCCTCATGGCCTGTCTGGGGTTCAGGTGTCATAGAAGGGCACAGATGCCCCTAAGAGGAAGGCAGGTGGACAGCCCCTTGGGACTGTGTTGTCAACACTGGCAGAAAGGGACCCCAGGCCACAGGCCATGCAGGCCATGCAGGCCAGGGGCCCCAAAGTGCCACTCACGATCTATCTCACTCCTCTGGGACAGTCTGGGAGTGCCTGTCCATTTCCCCCATGATTTCACTGATGCTTTTAGGCACTAGGATGCACTGGGGGAGCGGCTGTCCGTAAATCCCTTCTTTGCCTTATCTGTAGCATAACACAGGCCTTCCCCAAGGGGTGGAAGCCTCTCCTCTGGCCTCTGTCTTCCTCCCACATTGAGATACTCATCTTCCTTTGGGGGAGTGGGAGAGAGGGAGAGAGGGAGAGAGGACATTGCTGGCCATGCACAGAAAGCATTCGTTTACTGTGTTAGTATCGTTGGAAAAGAGGGCTGTTTTTCTCCTGGATTGTTGTTTGCCTGGGTTCCACACCCTCCCACCCTGGGAAGGGAAGGAGGGAGAGGTTCCTCCGGCTTCTCTGCAGAAAGGGAGTCCTGGCGGGAGAGGGTGTGAACTGGTGTAGGAACAGGGGGCTACTCCTGTCCTGGTCCTCTGGAGTTTTTGCATCAATTAAAGCAAATAATGCTCCCTGTTTTCCACCAGGCCCGGACAAGCGATTGGCCAAGGCCAGTCCCGTGACCACGAATTCCCTGCAATTTCGCTAGAGTCCTGGGTTTAATAGAGAGAGTCCCCATACGCTTGTATTTATCAGCAATATATAATAATAAAGGCCCAAAATTTAAAAAAAAAAAAAAAAAAAGAGAGAGAGAGCGCTAGAGAGCGAAATCTCCCTCGCCCAAAATCGCTCCATTGCAGAAACCTTGGGGGGGGCAGGAGGGGGGGTCCCTCCCGATCCTCCCTCCTGACGCCCCCCCCAGCAGCCCCCTCCCCCACCATTGAAAGCCATGAATTTTGAATTTGAGAGGGAGATTGGTTTTATAAACAGCCAGCCATCGCTTGCCGAGTGTCTGACTTCCTTCCCCGCTGTCTTGGAGACATTTCAAACTTCATCAATCAAGGAGTCGACATTAATTCCTCCTCCTCCTCCTTGCGAGCAAACCTTCCCCAGCCTCCAGCCCGGCGCCTCCACCCTTCAGAGACCCGGGAGCCGAAAGCGAGCCGAAGATGGGCCTGCTCCACCGCCACCACCGCCGCCCCCGCCGCCTGTCCCCGCCGCCCCCCTGGCCCCCGAGTTTCCCTGGATGAAAGAGAAGAAATCCGCCAAGAAACCCAGCCAGTCCTCCTCGTCTCCGGCCCCGGCCGCAGCCTCCTTCCCGGCCTCCGCGGTCGGCTCGCCCGCAGGTCGGTGAGCGCGGTAGGGTGCGGCGAGGGGGCGGCTGGAGAGGGGAAGAAAGGTGGGGGCGCAGAAAGGGAGGCCGTCCTGCTGGGGTTCCCTAGTCGGTGGGTCCCCGGGATGGAGAAGCAGAATGCCCCGCTGAGGTTCAGGCCTGGTCGCCGCCAGCATTTTCCCTCCCTCCTGCGGCAGATTCTGGAAGCTGGCTGGGAAAGAGCCTTTTCTTTGCCGGGGAAGGGGATTCGATTGGGGTCTCTAACCAGCCTCCGGTAACAGAATGAGTGTTGCTGCTGGGATTGAATCCGGGGTGCAGGAAAAATGCAATCCTCTTCCCTTTCCAGCTTCTAGAAGGGGCATTTGCAAGCTAGGAAGGAAAAGGGGGGAAGAGCTACCTTGATGAACCCACTGCCCGGCTGAGTGGGAAAGTTCCGAATTGAGGGGTCCACTGGGAGGACTTGGGAGGGGGCCCCTGGGTTCTGGGAGCGAGGGGGGACCGCTCCTCGCCCCCTCGGTGGCCCGTGGGCGGCTCTGAATGCTTTGCCCTCACCGGGACCCGGGTCTGCCAGCGAAAGGGGGCGGAAAGGACCGAAAAGCAGAGAGGCCAGCTACTTGGGTGGGGGTGGAGGGTGAGCAGGGGTGACTGCTGATTTTTGGGGGGGCGGAGGGGGTGTTCTCCATCGTTGGGCTGGGGACATGGCTCTCTGTGACTGATTCCAGGTCTGCTTTCTCAGCAGATGGGCCGGGACTGCCGGAGGGCGGCGGTGGCGGCGGCGGTGGCGGCGGCGGGGCGCGCAGGTTGCGCACCGCGTACACCAACACGCAGCTGCTGGAGCTGGAGAAGGAATTCCACTTTAACAAGTATCTGTGCCGGCCTCGCCGCGTCGAGATCGCGGCCCTGCTGGACCTCACCGAAAGGCAGGTCAAAGTCTGGTTCCAGAACCGGCGCATGAAGCACAAGCGGCAGACGCAGCACCGAGAGCCGCCCGAAGGGGAGCCCGCCTGCCTGGGCGCGCTGGAGGACGCCGGCGACCCCGCCGAGGATCCTGCGTCCAGCCCAGGCGGCCCCTCCGCCTCCCGGGTGGCACGGGACGCTTGCATGGGCTCGGCCCAGATGGCGCCCGGACTCCCGGGGGTGCCGGGCCCCGGGCCCCCGGCCGCTCCCGCGGAGGTCGCGGGTGCGCCGAGCCCTGAGCGCGCGCTGCGCAGAGCCGGCGCGCTGGAGACCCAGCCCTCGCCCGAAGACGGCTTCCCGGAGCGCCAGGACTCGCCTTTCCTGCCCGACCTCAGCTTCTTCGCCGCAGACTCCTGCCTGCAGCTGTCCGGAGGAGGCCTTTCTCCCACTCTGCAGGGCTCGCTCCACAGCCCGGTCCCCTTCTCCGAGGAGGAGCTAGACTTCTTTACTAGCTCGCTGTGCGCCATCGACGTGCAGTTCCCCTGACCCGCGTCCTCCCACCTTCCCATCCCGCACTCCGCGCCGGCTGCTGGGCGAATCAGCCTCCTCCACCCCCAGTCGCATTTACTTATGTTTTTACTAAAAATCCAGGTATTACTGAGTTAGCGTTTCACCCACTCCCTTTCTTCTTTATTTTTAAATCACGCAGAAAAATTCCGTTTGGTAGACTCCTTCCAACGAAATCTCAGGAATAATTAAACTCGGGGGGGGATTTCTGAGAAAGAACTAGAGGGACTTATTTTCCTCCTTTTTTAAGTTTTAGACCGTAGATTATTTATTAAAATTATTTAATAATAGGAAAAGGGGAAAGTATTTATTGTACATTATTTTCATAGGTTAAATAAATGTCTTTATAATACAAAAATGAGTGTTGGTATGGAACCCGGCCCCTTCCCTGTCTCCCAGGTCTGGCCGCCCGGGCCCAGGACCCTGGTGAGGTTGGTCTGGTGCGGCGGCCCAGGCGCTGCGGCAAAGCCCCGGGGATGGGCAGAGTCCGGGTGGTACAAAAGTGGCCCCGCGTGGCGGCCGCTTCTCAGGTCGGGGCTGCAGGAAGAGTGTGCGGGAGGTTGCTGGATGCTTGCTCTGGTCCCTGTCCCCAAACAGATGACTTTTGACTCTGTGCTGATGTCCCCAGCCCTCTGCTTAGAAATAAAGGCGGCCGGGTGGAAAGAGAGGGTGTGTTGGGGACAGAACAGAGGCTGGTGCAAGAACAGGAGGCCGAGTCGTGGCTGAATTCAGAGGGGTCCTAGGCTCCCCAGATTTCTGGCCTTTGTGCCCAAAGCCTGGAGAGGGCCCCGAGATGCAGGCCTGGGCCTGGACCCGTGCAGGTGGCTCAGGACCGGGGCAGGGATCGGGGTGTCCTCGGATGCCCAAGCATTGAAAGTGGCATCCAAACGGACAACAGGACGAGAGGCCCGCTGAGGACCAGGGGCGGGCGGACCCCGCTGGTCTTCGGGGGTGGCCGGGGTCGGAGCGCACCCGTGCTAGCCAGCCTCGGGGACGCCGGGCCGCGGGGAAGCAGGAAGCGACCGGGAGCGCGGGAGGGAGGCGGGAAGGAGGAAGACGTCAAGATGGCGCTGGGGCTGCCGGGGAGGACGCGGCGGCGGCGGCGGCCATGACAGCGGCTTGGGGAGCGCGCGCCGGC